ATTGTCATATATAAAATCTACTCGCATGCTAATAAAAATGATCAGCAGGCCGATTCGGTAAAAAATCCGAACCCGCATTAGAATTCTGTTGATTCCATTTATTGTATAAAATACAAAACAAAATTATACGTGTCTCCGATATTCTATTCCTATGTCATTTCGAAACTCATTTCACTTATGCCACGAAACGAAACCAATTCAAGATTGAGCGGTTGCCGATTTTTGAATTAAATTCGGACACCTTAGTGAATTCGAATTCGGGTTTGAATATTTTCAGAATCGCAGGGCAGTTTTTAAATAAAAAAAAAAGAATGAAAATCGCTGAACGAAAACGAAGATAAATCGCGGAACATAAAAATATAATGTTACTATTTAGTTAAAATTGTGAAATTACCTCTTTTTGGAAGTAAAGTTTCATAAACATAAAATACATGATAAAAAAGTATTCATTTTCAAGATCACCATATCTTTCTAATCACACTACCTACCTATAAGCGCACCAAATATTGAAATGATCTTAGTCGATTTATGTGCGAATTTACGATTAATTTGGAGTTTGAAATAATATTTCCCATAAAAAATACCGATATGAATATTAACTTCAAATTTATTATACCTTGCGTATTCTGGTTTATCTTTAGCAGATTATAAATATAAACGTAAATAGGACTTTGAAATTTACCAAACACGTTTTAATTATTTAATAAACACTTCGCCGTTCTCGTCGTCGGCTGGTGTGAAATTTTTGATTGCGTCCATTATTTATTTTCTCGTATCTCAATAGGTTTTTCGGGTCCCAACTTTACGATTGTCCGTCACGCGATAGATTCACAACACTAGCTCATGCTTGCGACTTTGTCCTGCTCTTTGAGTTCTGTTGAGGTGTTAAGATGTCTTTGAGAGATCCTATTCATTCATGCGAGCTTTATTTACTAATGAAAATGCGCTTTCGCCGGTTGCGAATTTGTTTATATGTTCTTAGGGATCGTACCCACCTTTTTTAATACAATAAGTACAATTTTTAATAATGTATTTCCGTAAATGGATCGCAGAGTCTAAAATTAAGATTTATTGATCTCATTCTGTTAAAGGCACATTTTTGAATGAATTTTTAGGCTGTTTCCATTGAAGGAAACATCATAAAAATTCATTAATTAGTTTTGAGTTTATCATGTTGAGATCTGGGAACTCTGACATATTCGATCCTTTTGCAGTCTCCAAGACATGTAATAAAAATTTTAATATAACGAAGTTAACGCGCTTAAACTCGATCCAAATCGGGTTTATTAATTGGGGTTTAATTTAATTTTTAATTGTCCATGGAGTAAATAAATAAAACGGGTATGATATGATTAGCTTCTAATTGAATGTTTATTTTTAATGTTACCGCTTTAATTACAAGCTAATCGAATATATGTATTCTTTTTCTCAAAAATACATCTAGGTGTATTTTCGTATTATTTTAGTAGTCCATGAATCTACTCACATGCCCATGGATCGGTAATCCCATGACATTCCACAGACAATCTTAGACGTAACGTTATTTAAATGGACGTGTTAAATATTCCTATAGCGTCACGTTGCCAGCGTGACGCCCAATAACGTTGTCAAAACACGAAACCCGTTTCCAACATTGAATTAGTTAAATTTATATAATTTAGACACAGTTAAAATACAAATCAGAGTATAACTGTCCGTTAATTTGAACAAATTGACGATTGAATTTATTTGTAACCATAGACGTACGTATTATATTTATTTTTTTAAATAGAACGTTCTTCTTATTCGAATTTTCGTGTTCTTTTCTATATCATATTTGCTCGTGATAAGAATTTGACGTCGTAGTGAAGTTACGTATTGACAATTTTGAGTATATCGATTGTTATCGGTTTTTTATAACATCGTTATTCAGCTAATGCAAATATAGTTGTTTACATTAGTTCTGTTGCAATACTTCGCGGAAGGCGTTTCGTAGGCGAATTTTTTAACATTTTTTTTTTGTATAAATTGATATCACAGCTTGTATTCGTTCCCACGGTATGGAGATATTACTATCAATAAGTTTCCGCAATGGTTTGAATGTATGATAATTTTTATAACATAATCTACAGTATTCAAATACAAGTTTGAACTTGTCATTCGATTATTACGCGAGCTTCCTTGATAGTAATTTATTTTTAAAAAGTTTGTACATTTTAATTTTCGAAATATATTTTGAAGACTTCTGAGAAAACGCGAAAGAACGAACATATTTACAACACCTAAAGTTGCTCAGTAAATGTACACAACACATAATATCCAGGAACCGGTAAACATTGTTTAAGTTTTTCCTTCAAACCGGCAAACTTGGAGTCTGGCAAAAACAATGCTCAATCCCTTATTAGGTGAGACAGGTCGCTCGCTTACTTTTTGCTGTGCACCATGAAACGTGAAATGAGAATCGAGAAAAAGTTGTGGCATATTTCGATTAATTCCTTTTTAGAGAATGGCATTAGAAGGTCCGGCGACAATTAGATGACAAGAAAAGAAAGATGAGGAACTTTTAAATAATAGTAAAAAAAGAAGGGAATATCGAATGAAATGTGTATTATTTTATTTATGAATACCATAATAGAATTTTGTTATTTTTAAAAAATGTCCAGCCTTCTCTTTGTCTAACCAGTTCGAAATTCAAATGAGAGCTCTATAAATATGCATTTTGTTATTGTAAAGATCCGAGAAAACGTAAAAATGTCATGACCGTTATCACAAATGTTTACGTTTGTCGAAAATTCTGTTCCCACGCGCACGCTCCGTCAAATGTAGCAATGTTTGTATTGGTAGATAGCTTATCAGTTATTCCTGTGACCTAACGGTTTATTCTGATTACTTTCTTTGATGAAGTCCAAAAGTGCTATCTCTTGTGCAGTCGTAAGATGAACGTTAGGCAAATATTAACATTGTTAATGGTGTTATTGCGTCGCCTTTTTGATTCATTACTTTGTTCTAGATATTTAGATCAGCATTAAAGTCTTGCATCATTCAATATTATAAATGTTACGACCTTCGTATAAATATTTTTGTTTGTGATTAGTTACTTAGTTGCAATAATTCTAACTTGATACGCTGTTTGCTTTTAATAATTATGTTTCTTTGAACTAATATTATAGTCAATGTCCAATCTATCATTTTCTGTTGACAAAGTCTTGAATTTTGTTTACTTATTGTAGTGTTAGCGTTATCATATAGCGAAATGTGTGAAAAATTATTTCATTAATTTCCCACATAGGTGTATTTAAGATTAGGTAATATTAAGGCAAACACAAATCAATCCAAATGGAATACGCTGAAGGAGGTGAATTGAAAATGAATTTTGTAATTCTTAGCACACGACATTTAATTTCTTGAGTTCACACCAGTGCGCACCGAATTGTCAGAATTCAAAGGACATGTATTATTAGTTTAACTTTATTCAAAATAATTTCGTTTATTTTGGTAACAATTTGTTTCATTTTTTTTGAATTGTGTTCAGTCGATAATACGTAATAGTGTTTCAGTTTTTGTGGGGAGAATAAAATAAACTCATAATTATTATTTTCGAGGTGTAAAGAAAATTCGTTTTATTCATCTCCTTCAGCACGTATTGATTTTATTCTATCATTGGAATAAAAAGAGTTTTCATTTGTTTTCCAATTAATAAAAAAGTTGTTAGTTATAAGTTAAAAACTTTTTTAATGAGAATAAAATGCGGGAATTCCGTTTTCGAATTTGAATGTTTCCGTTCGCAGTTTTGGGTGGTCGGATTTTGATGTCCCGTCCTGATTGATGTTTTAAGATGATATCGATATTGTCGATGCCAAGATAGCTTATCGACCGTGAATGAATTTTGCAATCGAATACATTAGTGTTTAATTGTGCTCTTACAATATTTGATTCCATTCTTTTTGCAGAATGTCGTTATTAATATATATATATATACTTTGTTAACAAACCTCCGTGGAGTTCATTAAGCCATTTCTAGTTTAAAAGTAGTTATCAGTGAAGTCTGGATCAATGAAGAAACAGTCTTCTAAACAGTTGTCTCTAGATGACTTTCTGTGTTCTGTGATGTCAATTCAATCAAAACGTAATCGGCGTTTAATTCTGTATAGTTAGATACAGTGTTTATCTTCAATACAGTATTGTATGTTGAGTGCAATTTCATTGAATCCGATTTGGACTGGTTTTAACCGATATACCTGAAGATGCCATGTATTAGTTAACTAATATATCTCTCACTTCTAATTGCTTCTGATCGAGCATGTTGAACTTAAATTAGGGAGATAACTATATGAGGAAAGGAAGCAATGCATCACCCACCACATAATGAAAAAAAAAACATGGCGACAATTTACATGAAGTACGCTACGCTACGACTACTGATTCCTAATAATAATTAAAATTAATCTTATAATTAAAACTAATATTGTAAAGATCTAATGGTTCCGACATTACCGAGCCTATTGTAAAAATTCTTTCATCTACGGGAACTTATATCATAATTTACGAGGGTAAAGTCACGGCAAAAAGTATTATATATTCGTACGTACCTTCGTTACCTCAGGGTTGCATAAACCAGTATACTTTACAATTGTTACCTAGCATTCAGCTGAGCTTTTAAGCCATTTGGTCAAAATTTTAATACGCAAGTTTCCCATATTATTATTTATTCTTGTGAATCATCGTGCCAATAAATATATGTTATTATATTCTAATATCAATTTTTTAACATAATAATGATTTCTTTTATATTAGATAAAAGAAATGCACAAAATATTACATTATCATTACCAATTTAACATACCAGGTTTACCACCATTTTATTGGAGATAATATCGTTAATTCTAATCTCCATCGATATAATATTATCTATATCTGGAGCGACTGTAAAATTAACATAATATATCCTTATTACCGTTTATTTTATCGCTACCGCCATCTACCGCTTTCATGGTGCATAATTTAATGTTTTATGTCCACAGGTTTCGTGTCCTGTTCGCCATCTCCTTGCAAGAACGGCGGTACCTGCTTATCCACACCACGAGGAGAATATTTCTGCAAGTAAGTCGCATGCGTTTATAATTCACGATGGTTCAGAGGAAAAAGTGCCTTATTTTAAAGTCGCAGAGTTCATTTGAAACAAAATCGAAAAACAGTATTTTAAAAAGTTTTTAAGAATTAAGCGTCTCTTCGTAATGAGGTCGTATTTCATTTGCATCTGTCAATATTATTGTAACGTATTCGCAACCGGATTATAAGTTTGTTTTATGATCACTCTTGGGTTGACGGCTAGTGTTGTTATAAGAGCTGACTTATTAGTTTGGTTCTTAAATCGGTTTAAAGTGCACAATGCTAGGGTTAATTTAGACTAAGCAGTTTTATTTCAAAGCACTTTTTAATCGGTTTTGTAATTTTACTTTCATTTAGTTCAATATCCATAACAGTGTTATTAATAAACAATTTCTTGCGTTCGAGTAAATTTACACTAAGATAGCACTCAGTATTTATTATTCAAAATTCAATGGAAAACTGAGAAATAAATTAGATAATACGAGGTTATTTAGAAGTTATAGTTAATAAGGATTGCTTAGTCTATGTTATATAAAACGAATTTTGACTAATGTAGTCTTAGAATGAAACTCTAACCAAATTCAGAGTTGTTTATTACAATATAGACAATAGTGACTCATTAAACACTGCGTTCTTTATTCGATTTAACTATTTCTATTCAGAAAAAAGAGCCTAGGACATGATAAAATCCTCTTTCAAAAGAATAAGAATAAAATGTATAAAAAAAGATCTTATTGGCCCGATTAACTCAAATTTAGAATAACATTTAGCTTGTTTGTGTGGTTGGATTTTTATGATTATTTGAACTTGTTTGAGCTATCAGTTTCAATAGGCTGAACAGTTTAATAGTAACATATGCAAGAAGACCGTTACATAATTGAATCGACCCTTAGCTACCCTTATGATTAACTAGTGATGGGAACTTGTGATTCAATATTCGATAATATTCTTATTGTGTTTTTAGTTTGGATTTTTTTTTTCCATTGTATTATTTTATTTCAAATTCACATATATACTCTTTGAACGATCACTGATGCACGTTAGTTTGTTTGTATACTTAACAGAAGAAACTTGTTAAGCTAAAGTGATTAAGGATAAATATTATTGATTTATACTTAATCATTTTTGCATTGACAATGCTATTTAATGTTTTTACCTTAAAGATAAATGTTTAAAAATTTCACTAATCCCATCTCGGGTACCACAGGCTAATAGTAATTTTAGTAGGTCAGTGATAGCAAATTTTTCAATTCAGATCAGATTCAAAACTTTAATGAAAATAACAATATACGTTTGATATTATGTTTTTATTACGTATACGTGGTCTGGTATTATAATACGTTGAAAATTTTAATTAAAACTCTTAAAGTCATTTAACATCCTCAATGGATAAATTACACAATTTGCAATTTTAAATAGGAAAAAGAACAGTTATATACTTTCAAAGTGCATCGCGGGTAAATATTGTGACATAAGATTGATATTATATTCATCTAATCACATTTCAAATTATCGATATTTTAGTTGACACCCTTATTCTAAAGTGCCTGTATCACCCTGAGTCGCGTATAGAAAACGCAGGCGCACGCCCGCAGGGTTAACTCATCACGACAGATGCGCGGGACCCTTTTCTATCCGAGAACCCCAACTAGCATAAAAAAATCGCACACTCAAATCGCCAATCGAAGTTATTGCTAAAAAATAGTATTGTACAAATGCTATACTTATGGCACTATTTTGTTTTTAATGGTATACCACAATTTTTTGTAATAGTTTTATTACTTTTGTTGTAATAATACTACAAAAAACTCATTAAATATTATTTACTGTTATATCACAATAAACAGGTATCATTAAATATGACATCTATTAATCTGTAAAGGTGGTGAAATTAATATCAAGTACAAAAACATGGTGCTAGAAATTTTTATCGATAATAATGTATAGTCACGATATATCCACGGTTTATTTTTCAATACGTCCCGGTCTTATCGATCAACACCAGTTCTATCGACACACTTACATATCGTCTAAGCACCGGCTTAGATGTGCAGTGACAGGCGAGTGCTTTGACTATATCGTTAGTTGCAGATTTTGCGAAGTGTAAAAAATTGACATGCGGTTTCGCATTCAAGGTCTCATTTCGATCTAACACTTCTAAATTTGTGATAAGATTGATTTAATTGTAAATAATACCCACAAGAAATTTAAAATATAAGTGACATTTTAGAAGCTTTCATAAATCCCAACTGATTTTTTTTACATGAAATAGATCTTATTAAAAATGAAACTAACAAGAATCTAAATCAAACCAAACATAGTAATGTTTGTAATATGTGCAAACTAGACTTCCCACCTAGTTTCTATAACAATGCGACTTCGAAGTCCCCAAGAGACGGTGCAGCGGCTCCTTTGTTCCCTCATTGGTGGAGCTCATTAAAATCGTTAGCCCTTTATGGCGGAACAGAGGCGTGAACTGTGTTGTGCCACGCGGAAAAGCTAACTTGGATAACCTGCTTGTGAGGATGCCTTTATGTGCAAACTCTGTTTATGGAATTTAGAACTGCTATATGACAGCCAACAGACATAAATTGATGCTTAAACAAACCTTGTTAATGCAATGAAGTTTATTACGTGATTCCTAAAGGGACAATTCTGGGGCTGCAACTTTATATTGTTAAAAATTTACGATTGCATTTTACTTTGTTTTATCATAATAGTAACTCAAGTATTAACTAAATATCTATTTGACGTAACTAAGTCACATGTAAATAATCATTAATTATAAAAAAAATATTCGTTCATACATTCTCTTTGCATAACATGGTCGACCACCAAACGTGAATCGAATATGTCCACGAGTGACACAATCCGATATATGTTATGCACAAAGCTGATTTGTTATTAAAATAGCCATTGCATTACACTTATATGGAGAATCGTAGAGTTCCAACAATAATATTGCAGTTAGATATGACCGAGACGGACGTGATGGCTTGTTAGTACCTTACACGAGTAGTTTAAAAGAATCGTGTTTACATTTTATCACTTAAAACTTTAATTTTAATAGTTTATTTTGTACACCGTTTCTGTTGGTTCCATCGATAATTTTCTCAAAACTATTGTTGTTTGAATTTGAGTTCTAGACTTTTGTTGATAAAAGATAAAAACCAGTTTTTTTATATAACACAAAAGAAATTTTACACAATAGACCTCTCGTGATAATTTAAACACGAGATTAGAAGTCTATAGACCATATTAATTAGGATATTCTTGTTGTGTTCGATTACATAAATCAGCTGAGCTGAATGGCATCTGGTCATACGGTACACTTTATCAACTATGCCATCGCTAATAAAGGTGGGTGGGCTACCTAGATCTTCTGATGTCATCCACGCGTGTCACTGGTCAATGACTCGGTCATTGGGTAAATTGATTAAATATTTACAAAAGAAAATCGGATTTCCTTAATAATAATAAAGTATAACTCTATTTGAATACTCGTAATTTTCACGAATTGATTTGGAAGTAGAAAATAATGATATCGCTAAAACTGTTTTCTTGTCCTGGACAAATAATCATTTGTATCTATGAACGAGGGAGTTTGTTACATGTATAATTTAATGTAGTCAACACGATATAATATGTCACTTTTGATTTAACTTAATGATAAACATTAATGTTGGAATGAGCAAGAAATTAAGCGTCATGTTTCATGTTTAAGATCATCTCAACATTAACGGGAAGAGATCACAATAATATTCATATTGGTTAGCGTGGATATAATTGACCACGTGTGGGTTTTTTTATTTTTGATAGGCCAGCACTTGACCACAGATCACCTGATGGTAAGCAATGCAGTGGTCTAAGATGGAGCGTGCTTGTCTAGAAGGAACCGATTCACTCTTGACATGAAGAGTCCCAGATTGTATTTATCAGTTTTGAATTTACGCACCAATATTGTTTTCTAGTTGTCGGATCGTTGCATATGGTCTTCTAAATTATGTTGGCACTATTCAGTGAATGACCAATCGTATTCAAGGCCAGCTATAGTGACAGCGATTTTTAAATTATATGTGTGTTTTAATATTTGTGTTTTGTGAGAGTTGCGCAATTTTTTCTTGCCTTCAGTAAGGATCTTGCGTCAGGTATATGGTCAACTACTAGAACATCTACCCAAACATTTGAATCTTCTGGTCAAACTTAGTACCATAGGGTGAAATGAAAAAAAAAAACATTGTAACAAATTTTCTGTAAGAAAAAAATTAGTTCATTGCATTAAACACTTAAATAGGATATGTATGTATTACATACAAATAATTAGGTTTGCGTCTTACTTCATGTTAGAGGAAAATAGTAATTTATAATAAAATCTGCCTTTATTGCAGTCAGTTGCACAAACGCCCATTAAAATTTTCATTAGTTAAAATCGCCATTACCCATACAAATGTGACATTCATTAGAGCTTAGAGGCGTCTTTAATCCATAATGGACGTTTGTGCAACTGACATTTAGTCAATTATACACAGGGTGAATGTAGTTTTAATTTGATAATTGTCTATTCGCTAAAGAAATATGAACATCATTGTAAAATGCTTACTTACTGCATATTTATATGAAATCGGAGAACAATACAATAGCTCGCTTACAACATAAGACATCAATAAAGCACACGTTTTGAATTCTCACAAATCTATCATTTCCATTGTCTCCCTCCAACAATTAGTAATTTGTAGGAGGGTCCGGCTACAATAACTATTGACCCCGCACGTGTGTCCGTCATTATCTATACAAATTTCGGATGCTTATCGACTACGCGCGGTTGAGCTCGATTAGAGATGGGGTAATTCGAAATTTAATTTTTAATACATGTGGATGGAGACGCTAGAATTCCGATTTTAAATAAATTTTGTTGTAACCTTTTTTTTTTGGTGTAATCCGATGACGATGCGAATCCCGAAAAACGGCTCTATTCCGTTTAAAGCGTCATA